CATTCCTCGTAACTTGGCGAAGACAACGTCATACTGGTGTTTGGACCAAGCGCTGGAGACCTCATTTGCTAAGTTAGCACAATGGGCTACGGAGCCGTCCGTAGTGGCCTGTCTGATGAGAGCCGTAGTATGGTGCAGTAGTAGGTCCCGATGAGCCAGTAGACACGCCTTGGTTCCCTGAAGAAAATCCCAGATGCCCAACAGAGGAGGCCACAGGGATCCGTTGGAAGGAATCTTCAGGAGGTCCAAAGGGGGAAGCGTGATGATACCGCCTATGTCGGAGTACCCGTAGTGAGCCAGGAGCCTGAGGGGTCCCATCTTGTGTTTGGTGCCCTTTCGCTGTCGGATCTCAGCTTGCCTTCGGAGCAGGGAAGCCGTCTCCTGTGGGATAAGCTTTGCTGCAGGCACGAGCTCCGCAACTTCTCGATGCAAAAAGGGCAGCACAGGAAAGCACGCGTTGGCCCTGAGTACGTAGTCGTATCTGGTGTGTCGCCACCTCGGCGCCGCTGCACAGATAACCTGCCAAGCAAAAAAGAGAGCATGCAGGCTGGCCTGGTTGACTCTGCGCAGTAGTTTCCGTTGGAGCCTGAGGAAGAGTGACCTCTCCTCTTGCAGCTTCAGCGTGTCTTAACTTATCCAATTCTGCCGTGGTCTTTTGCACCGTTGGCGTGGTGCGTGTCGGGAATGCTGTTTCGATTGCCATCCTGATGTGGTCGTCACAATCCTTAGTATGGTCGGTAGCATGAACTCCGAAGTCGGGCTGGCGGTATTGCGAGAGCAGGTGGTTGAATAGCTGGGAGGCCACAGGGTCATCATACAGCGCTGGGTCGCGTTGGATCTTGCATTGCCTAGGGGGCTCTGGAGAGAACTCTGAAGGAGGGATTTCGACCTGAGCCGTAACCACCATGTGGTTGGGTTGTGACACCGTAAGGTCGATGTCCCTGTCAATCCCTTGCTGTTGGACCTGAAGCGTCGTAGATAGTGTAACGTAGTCCCTTCTTTTGGCCTGTGTACGAGCCCCGGGAGCCTGCCACGTGCCCGCGTGCCCGGAGGGGTCCTCAAAGAAAGTAGATGGTGCCCACTGTTGAGTGCTGTGTAGGAAGCGCTTGAAACATTATCCTGGGAGATTCTGCTCCTCAGGGTGCGCTCCTCCTGTAGTGTGATCCGGTACTGATCCTAATGCAGCATTGGCGTCCACCAGCGTGATGAGGTGCTCCGCTCCTCTCTTTTGTTCTCGGCAAAGGTCCTCCAGATCCTTCCACCACTGCTGAATCTCAGTGGGTGGCCGTCTTGAGTGCGGGGCATGGCCAATGCAAACGCATAAGTTGAGAGATGGTGCGCGAATGGCAACTATCATGACTCTTGGCGAAGCATGCGTCACATAACAATTTGATGCTGCAATGCGGCAACCTGGTGCATATTCCCATTCCGTATTGACCCAGAGTGAGCATCCCTCTCCACCCGTCGGTAGAGCCGCGGCGTGTAGTACCAGATAGTCTCCCACATTTGTGACCCCTGTTTAGGCATGCGTGTCTCGACCGTGCCAACAACCATGTACGGTTTGACCGCAAAGAGAGCGGACAGCTGCATCATACGACCTGTGATGTTGAGGCCAGCCATCCTTGGGGGCTGTTGGGGTCCCTGCAGGGCTCGAGGATCCATGGTAAGCACGTTGGCCATGGCCACCCAACAGAGAATGGTGTGATTCTTGAGTTTCTTATTGGGGACCTTGTTGGGCCTGGAAATGATCCGCTGGAGGTCCGTGTGGGGCTCCTTGGCGATGGGTATGGTATGGTCGGCAGTAGGGGGAAGCGCGCAACGTACCTCTGGTGAGACAGAACACAGCCAAAGCCACGGCATTGCCTTCCTATGAGGCTCTTGTTCCACCAGCGTGCGCCACTGCGGCTCGAAAAAGGTGGGAAGCACTGACATGGCGTACAATCTAGCGAGTGTGTCAACGCATTCGTTCCAGGGATTCGCAACATGACCATGAACATGCTGGAAGGTAAGCGTACTTGCACATGCACGAACACACTGTGTAAGACTGTCTAGCAGAAGCTTGGTATTGCAGAGAGCTCCTCTGACGTATCCTCCCTGATACACTCTGTATACGTCCATGTTATCCGTGAGCATGCAGAGAGGCAAAGCGCTGTAGGGGGACTGCATGACCCATGCCATAGCCCAAATGGCGGCTTCCAACTCGGCCCTCAGTGGTGTGAGTGAATCATTCGCTTCCCTATCTGGCAGCGGGCCTGCAAGGTAGCCGAGCAAAGTGACACCGAATACAGATACTGCCATGATGCACAGTGCCCAAGCTGGCCCGCACACCTGTCCGTTGTATTTGTGTCCTCCTGCGGTCGCGTCTGTGTAGATTTCCAGCCGAGTATACCTCAAGTTGGGATCGAACTGGATGAGACCTTGAAACGCCTGAGCGGAGGATGAGTGCCAGTAGGGGGCCCACGATAGGAGGTCCCTAGACGGCTGAACGGGCCACCTGCGCTCCATGAGCTCCTGGGTGGGTCGGAGATCGGGTATGGGCGACCTCCTGACTCCTCTGGTGGTCCCCTTAGGAGCCTGCGTAGTTAACTTGATGTTTGAGTTGGGCAAACCATACTCACCTGGTGAACACCGGCTGGAGTCGGAATCTGGAGTCGGAATCTGAACACCGGCTGGCTGCTGCGAGGAGGCAGAGGGGGGGACCTGAGCGAGCTTGCCAGAATATTCTGCTGAGCGCCAAACGCGCTCAGCTGGTGTTAATGCGGTGTGGGCGGACTGGAGGCTACGCGAAAAACTGACTGCTGGCCTGATGGGCTGCCAGCTCCGCTCAGCGCTGCCATGTCTGTTTCATCTTCTCCTGCTGCCATCTCATGTGGTTCGTCAGGTCGTGTGTGCATGGAGTCCCTGGCCACCTCCTCATTGATCTTTACTTGCTTGGGTGGTGCCTGACCCGTGGGGCGCCTGGGTGAGGTAGACCTGTGTCTTCCTGCCTCGGCTCCCTGGGCGAAGGCACCCTCTAGCCGTCGACGTCCTTCTGTTCGTGCGTCTGGTGGAATCGACTTGTCCTTGTCCTTTCTTGGAGTGGGGGTAGGTGATGCCGTTGATGCCTGTACTTGCAGTGCCTGCATTTGTCGCTGAAAGTATTCTCGATATGTCTTGCTGTTGATGCTGACGTCTGTGAGCTGTTTCTGGATGGTCTTCATGGCCGTTTTGAACTCAAGTAGTTGCGCCATGAGTGCCTGCTGCGAGTGCTGCATGCTCGCCAACAAACCAGGGGTGGAAAATTCCGTCTTCGAATCCGCTGAGCCCGAACACGGTGTAGCTCCAGGCGGAGTCCGAGTGGTAGGCGTAGTTGGAGAGCGTGTGCCAGCTGGTGTGCTCGGAGAGCGCGTGGTAGTTGGCCACTTAGTACGTGGCCTTGATGTTCCTCCTGCTGGTGCAAGAGGGGCTCTGTCGGAATATTCCTTCTCATCTTCGTCCATGTAGTCTGCTGCTCGAGGCTTACGCGCGTGCGACATGTCGTTGCGCGCCTCGGCCTGCTTGCGCTCACTGTCCTGCTTCTCCTTATCCTCAAGGTCCTGGAAATGTTCGAGAAGGTCTTCAGCGTGTGCCACTTCTTCATGTAGTGCGTGAACCTGCGCAACGCATGAGTCAAGATAGATGTGTGCCTCTACTTGCATCTGTGTGGCCTCCGTCAGCCTGCGCTTTGTTCTGTTGACAAAGCTGAGCTGCTTGGCTGTGCGTGCGGAGGCTGTGCGCGAGTACATGAGCTGGTACAATACCACGGCATACTCGTGTCGTAGAGCCTGCACTTGTGATGCTTCCATCTTGAGCTCTTGGGAACATTTGATCTGCCTCTCCAGGCCCTCCAACGTGGAGCCTAGGGCCTTCCTGTACTCACCTAGCTCCTGCGGGCTCTCCGGAGGCTCTTGCCAACGCCTGTGTGCGCGGGCCTCCTCTGGCGAGCATGGCATGATGTTCATGGTCTCTTCCTCCTCCGCGTTGTTGCTGTGCGCTGGGCGGCGCGAGCTGGAGCGTCTCCATGGCCGGGAGGCTGTAGGTAGATCGGCGGCTGGCTTGGCCGCTGGCTGGTTCGGGTGGTACTTCTCACACTTGGCAATTTCCCACTTGTTGTGATGATTGCAGGCAGGGCACTCCCACAGGTACCGATGCTGTCCATGCTGGTGCCCTTGCCACTGCTGCCTTCGTCGTGATGGCTGTCTCGAGCGCGCTGATGACTGACTGCGCTGAGTTCTCCACGTCATGCTGCTGTGATGCTGGGACAAGAGGTCTGATGCGGCTGCTATCTTCAGCAGAGTCCTGGCTCTGGTTCTCTCTGCCCTGGCTCGACGATGCCAAGCTGGTTCACCGTGTGCTTCACGGCTGGCCCTCCTGCCGCGCGCCGTGGCTGCGGGGGCGCGCTGGGGGGCGGGCGCGTGTCGCAGCTGTCCCGTGAGGGAAGTTTCGCCGTGCCTGGCACGGCTCCCGCAAACCTCTCGGGCCGGGACTGCGGCTAGGAGAGGGGGGAGGGGGAGGGGGAGGAGGAGGAGGAGGAGGAGGAGGAGGATGAGGAGGAGGAGGAGGAGGAGGAGGAGGAGGAGGAGGAGTTGGAGTGATGAGTAGGGAAGCGGCGCCCACAAGAGGGCGGCGCGAGAGGGGCGACATACTAGAAAGCGGATGGGCATCTCAGAGGGCAGGGGGCCTTCTTGGAAGGCCCCGGAGGCCTCTAAGATTAAGTCGGGCATGTCCCTCGACATGGGAAAGATTCAAAAATTGTTGAAAAATATCTGGAGACGATTGTTTGACTATTTCTGATTTGTGTGATTAGTGTGCGAGTATCCTTTATTTTCGTCCGAAGTCCGCATGTAGGAGGACATGCCCGACCTATTTTTAAGAAGGCGTCTGAGAAGCCGGGCAGGTTTCTAAGAAGCCCCGCCGCCTTCTAGAAAACCGCCCCTATCGCGCCACCCAACCGTGGGCGAGTAGGAACCCCACGCAGCGAGGACGGCCAAGAAGAAGGTCACCACACAATCGAGGGTCACCACACAATCGAGCACCACGCCGTTGACGGCCTCCCGCTCGACCGAGGTGGGGGATGTGCTCGGCTGCGCCGTCGCTGCGCTCAAGCAGCAGTCTGGGGGCAGCAAGAAAATAGACTTCACGCCCTTAACGTCGCCCGCGCTGTCGAAGGCTCCCAGCAGGTATGATCACCATCACCAGGTGCTCTTCAACGGAAAGCAGGTGATCACAGGAGAGAAGAATACCGACACCGTTGCTCTGCTCGTCTTGGAGAGCCCTCGTCCCCACGGCTGGATTCTCCTCGAAGCTCCGGTCGGAGCGCACACACCTGGAGATGTCCGTGGAGTAGCGGTATGGGTATATGTGTGGCCCCCCCCAGGTGATGAGCACCACGTTCGAGATCTTCTTCGGAGCCGTGATCGGGACCAACGCGCTCGTGAGCGGCGTGGAGGTCCAGTACAGGACCCGCGGCCGCGTGCGAAGCCTGCACGTGCGGGTCCAGGAGGGCTCTGCCGGCCGGTGCCGAAGCGCACCCCGCACGCACGCACGGACGCCCGCACGGGCAGGCGAGGTTTGCCTTAAGGCGGGCCCGTCCCTCGACAGGAGGAAACTCAAAAATATCGGAGGTGGATAGGCCTCCTACCCTGACACGTCGATTAGTGGATTGGCCGCTTTCGGTTCGCGAGAGTGCGTCGCGGCCGTCATTTTTGCGGGTCCAGGTCCGTCGGTTTCGGTCCCAGGCCGTTTTCACTGAGGTGATGTTTATTAAAGGGAGGCTTGCCCACCGCCGAAAAATAGTCAAAAGACAGTATGGGGACGATTTTTTAAGTTTTGAATACTTTGTTGACTAGTTTAATGTTTCGTCCAAAATCATCCTGTAGGAGGACATGCCCGACCTAATGTTTGCAGGTTCCTCTGACTCAGGAGCTCGCACATCGGGGAGGAGATACCGGACATCTTCATAATCATACGCCACACCTACACCTTGCTCTTCCTGGTGGAGCTCGCGATGCGCGTCTGCACGCTGGGCCCCCGCAAGTTCTTCACGAGAGGGGAGGTGCTCTGGCCTGCTCCCTCCCTCCTCTTGTTCCCTCTTGAGATGTAGCTCCTGGGAGGTTAAGTTCACCATCGGCGCTGACATATCTGTTGTTAACATTAAGTCGGGCCTGTCTCTCTACAGGAGGGATATTCAAAAATTGTCAAAATAGTCAGGGGACGGCTTTTCAATCACGTTGGACCATATTTGAGCATGTTTGAATATTTCTAGTGTTTCGCCCAACCTAGGGTTAACAATCGGCATGGCCCCGCACAATTCCAGGTGGCCCGGTTGAGTCAGCTCAACTCTGGGCTCAATCTTGGGCCTAATCCGCCAGTCGGACCTACTGGCTCGGATGCTTATGCCATAAACAAGACTTCACCCATGCCAAGAAATACCCTGGTTGCCTCCAGGGTGCCCAAGGTTTCTTTGGTTTCGATGGTTTTGCTATGGGAAGCGTGGCGTTCCCACACCCAGAAGCAATTGGGCGTTCCAAGGTTGGCTTTCAGCGGAGGCTTTCCTGTGGTCGGGCTCCTACTGCAGCCTATGCCGACGACGCGCTGCTCCCCGGATCCAGCGCGGCACACGTGGAGGAGTTCGCGTCGGCTGTGTCGCGGGCTGGGCAGGCGTGCGGCCTCGAGCTCACGCTGGACCAGCTGCATCTGCTGCAGGGTCGCGCTGACAAGCCTCTTGCAGCGGAAGCCTATGCCAAGAAACACCCTGCTCGCCTCCAGGGTGCCCCAGGTGTCCTGGGTCTCAATGGTTTCGCTATGGGACGCGTGACGATCCCACGCCAACAATCAATGGACGTCCTGGGGTCTCAGAGTTGGGTTTCTTGTGGAGGGTTTCTTGTGGTCGAGCTCCTACGGTATGCATGTCTGGCCACGCCTTGGAGGGAGACGGATCACTAGTGTACCTGGGTAGAGGTCTGGCGCCAGACGACGAATTTGGAGGCAGTCATCGCTATCGCTGAGTGGCGACTACACGCTTTCCTCGCGCCGTTAGAGTCCAATCTGCACTACTGCCTGGCCGCAGGCTGTTACACGAAGGCCGAGTTTCGCAGGTTGGACGGTTTTCAGGCGAGATGCTTGCGGGTCATTCCAAAGGTCCCTCCAGCGGTTCTCTCTCACGCGTCAAACGCCCCGGTACTGCAGAGGGCCAGCGCGGAAGTTGCATGTGTGCAGTTGCGGCGAAAACAGATATGTTTGTTCGGAAAGGTGATTCAGCAGCCTGCCAGGTCAGCTTTGCGAGTAGTTTCTTTCTGTCCTGGTCGGTCCTATCGTCCGGCAACAGGCCACTATGTGTGGGTGCAGGGAAGGCTTCGGACAGCGTGGATCCAGGCAGTGTTGCCCGACGGCATCAGAGTCGAGTGGAAGGCAGCTCCCTGCAGTTGGAGGCCGCCGCTTCCGACAAGCAGCAGCGGCGCAGGAGCGCGAAGAACTTCTGACCTCGTCTCGTTACTTTGTTATTTCTGTTGGAGACATGAAGCGTGGTTGCATTGGCCTGTTATTCACGTTGCAAAGTAAGCATCGCATGATCATGTTCTCAAGAGCTCCCATATCAAGTCCACTGTTTCTTTCAAGCTTTGGCCTCGGCCGTAAAAGGAAGATATCGGTGTGCTAATAAATCGTCCCGCCATGCAAATTGGATTCGACACTGTCCCAGTCGATAGCTGCACGTGCGTTTCGACGTACTTCGTTTCTCGTTCCTTGTTTCTCCTTCCCTCCCTCCCTCCTCCCTCCCCCACCAGCCGCCGTCCTGGTTCGAGAGGTTTCGGGCGCCGTACCAGGTACGGCGAACCTCTCGCTTGGGACGGCTGCAACGCGCGCTTGCCCGCCCGCGCCGCAGGGCCAGCCGAGCCCCGCCGATCGCTACGGCGAGCCGCAGGCGTCCTCGCGAGGACCCGGCGCGGCATCGCCGCCTGCGCAAGGAGCGCAGTCGAGCCAGACTGTTGGCGCCAGTCGCTGCCGCAGCCGACGTGCTCGACAGGCATCACAGCAGCCCCATGGCCAAGGGGAATCACCAACGTAGCGCCCGTGGTGGATGGCAAGATCGTGAGCATTGACAGCCACCCTGGGCCACGCCGAAGTACAAACGTTCGTGGGAATGTCCAGCGTGTCCCCAGCATAACGCCTGGTCAGCTACAGCACGCGCGAAGTGTCATCCGCCATCGAGACGCTCAGGCCCATAAGGACGACCTCATCCCCATCCGGCCACTCCTGCTTACGCCACCTCGCACAAGAGGTGGCGCAGCCTACCCTCCGACGCACAACAGCTCGGAGAGTTGCGCAAGGCCTTCCTCGACGGTCACCATGGAGTCGCTGGAGAGGCAGATCTGCTGCGCGGTCGACTTGCAGCTCGGAGACGAAGAGATCAACGCCTTGAGAGATGAGTACAGCGTAGTATTGTCAGATGATGCACGCCAGGTCGCCGCAGGCACGAGTGCAGAAACAGCGTTTTTTTGTTGTCAGCAGGTGCCGCAAGAGGCTCATGGATTCGCAAGCGCGCCACAACTTGCTCCAGAAGGAGCTCGACGCCGCCGCGGAGCAGTGCCAGGCGCTGCAGGACGAGCTGATCCAAGCAGGCTCGCTTCTGGAGCATTTCGATGAGCTAAAGGATGAGCAGCCGTTCATGACAGCACCAAACCCCTGGGACGATGATGACGAGGATCTCATGGAAGAGGACGAGCGCAACAACGCGTGCTTTCGTCCAGGACAGCAACGTGATGCAGCAGGTGTTTCGCAGCAGCCTCCTACCGAGAAGGCCGCCCTCGCGTCTACACCTCCGCGAAATGAAGTACGTCCCCGCGGACGTCGCCTTCCTCGGCGCCACCAGCATCGCCCGCTGTTCGCTCAGCTGCACGCGGAGCAGGCCCCCGGCGAACAGCGCCACAGCCTTTTGCGCAGGTACACCCTGGAGAGATTTTCAGCTGCTTCCGCGAGCACCGACGTCGGCACTCCTGCTTTACTCGCTGCTTTGCAGCAATCAACCTCCCAGATGCTCCACGTCATGAAGACGTTTCAGCAGACGGTCACCGCTCTCCAGAATGACATCGCCAGCATGAGGTCCGAGCACCAGGCAGAGAAGAACAAACTGATCGAGAGCGCGGTGGAGGCCGCCAGGAAGGACATCGCCCCGACCAAGAAGGACCGCCACCCAGAGGCCACTTCCGGAGCACAGCAAGCTGGACATGAGCGAATGGCTGCAGCGCTGCAGGGGCGCCCCCCAGCCAGGCCAGCGCCGCGGCGGCGGCGACAGCGGACAGGCAGGGGCGAAAGCCCAGCGCGCCGATCGCGCCGGCGCAGGCGCGCTGGGCAGCGGCGCCGAGGCGATCGCCCCTCGCGAAGCAGCCGACGCCGCTACCACCCGGGCTAAAGCGGATGCCGCGGAGCTTGCCAGCGACATTGAGCCCCTTGCCGCCACTCCAGCGAGCGGCGCGCTAGCATCTGGTCAAGTTTCTCGTTTAAGGCCGTGTCAGAAGCGTCTCGGCCAGCGAATGCGGAATCTACTCTCCTCCGTCCACGGCGTTTCATTGTTTCGCCAGTTTTGTCGCTGGAAGCCCATGGAAATCGCGTCCAGCACCTCGGCCATTGGATTGCTGGCCCTCTTGCTTCACCTACCCAAGGCACTCCGCACCCCCCCACCCCGCAGCTACATGCCACACGGAAGTTTGAAAAGCCTTGGCGACCCCACTCAGTAGGGCGCAGTATTGGCATTCGTCAATTATCGGAGCCTCCCCTAATCTAGCACCCTTGCCATCGGACGCCCCCGTCGATCATGCGCGCATTTTCACGGACGCCACGGCAGGAGGTTTCAAGTGCGAAGGTGGGCGCTGCAATCCCGCGAGTGCATTTTGCGCTTGCCGTAACAGTCATGGGTCTCTCTCCTGTTGGATCCATGGCAGGTCTGCGAGCTGGCTGGGACGCCCCTGACACTCACGCCCCCTCCGAGCAGGGATGGAAGCGGCCACTCGGGCCACAGCTTGGCTGATGCAGGCACCACTGCTCTCCCGCCCGGCTCCAGCATGCTTCTACACAGACAACGCGGACGCGTTTAGAGCGCACGCCCGAGGCTACGTGCAAGGGGCCCTCCTACGCATCAAGTCTTTATTTGATGGCCTCACCCAAGCCTCGCGCACGCGCGTCGTCGTCGTTGCGCATGAGCATATACACGTGCACATAGCACACCCTTGGAACGAATGCGTCGACACTCTGGCTAGGTTGCATGCGATGAGTATCCTACCTGAACAAGTTGAGCCTGCATGGCGACATGTGACACCACAGGGCATACACAGCACAGCTATCACATGGTCACGGTTGGCTTACGCTTATCCGAATATCCAGGCGGCCTACCCACCCGACCACGGCATGCCCCTTCCCGCGCCCAGCGTCCCAGTAACCACGGTTCAGGACATCATCCCTCTTCCTCGGAAGCCTCCTCGTGGGCGCGAAGTTTTGGCTTGGGACTGGCTTGCCATCGCCAATGTCCTCTCGCTGGCATAAAGGGAGCTCTGGTCAGATATCGCGCATGATGCAGCTCGCTGGGCAGCTCTCGCAGAGGCCTAACTTTCTGGTAGGATCGGCGGAGACTCGCCTCCGTCGCACAGGCGTCCGAACTAGGTCAGCACTACCCGGTGCACGCCCGGGCCAACGACTCCAGAGGTGAAGGGTGCACTTTATGCGTCAACACGCATTGAGAAAACCAACCAGGATTCACAGCGCAGCCATCACAGTTGCAGGCAATGCGTTCCGCCCCCACGGTTCTCATCGTGGCCGCACGGGCCCCAGCCTTATCGCCGTGCATCTGCGTCGCGCATGCTCCGCACCCCCGCCGAGCTCCAACGGACAGCGCAGCATGGTGGCACGACCTCCGACGCCTCATGCACATGCATAGGGACACGGCCGAACACGCGATTACCCTGGCGGATGCACACGCAGCCGCGGGCCCCCGCGCCGACCCCCACACAGGGCCCTGTCACGCGGAGTGCGAAAACACACCAGGACATCACTTCAACGACTTCCTGAGCAGCACCTCTCAATGGGCCCCTCCGCGTTCTACGAGGACCCTTCAGGCTCTGCAGGTGCACGGGCCGCCCCTGGAGCCCGCAAGGCGCCCAGGAGACGGGATTGCATCACAGTTGCCATGGAAGTCACCGCGCCAGCACAGGGGGGCGATCACGACATCGACTTAACGGTCACACAACCAGACCACAATCTGGCAGCCGCAGGCCTGCTGTTCCCGCCGCCCACGCTGTGCCCGAAGCACCTTGCCCGCACGAGGTGCAGTACGATCCCGGCTTGCACAAGGACCCCCCTTCTGCGCAGCTCTTCCGACATCTGCCGACGCAATTCCGACCCCCACAGTTTACGACGCAGGCCACCGACCATGTGAAGGCATGCGAAGACCACGTTCGGACTTCGATGGGGTCTGCACCGGAGCTGGGCAGCCTTTTTGATCCCGTCGTGGTCAAGAGCTGCCTTCGCATCGAAGAGCCCGCTCAGTGGCGAGGCGGCAACTACTGGAACATTTTGAAGCGCAAGGCCACGGCAGCCCTCTGCAAGAACTATCACTCGGTCATGATCTACCCCAGGTAGAAGACTAATATCGACAATTCCTGCTGGGGCCACTTGTGGATGCGTTGCCAGAATACGCAGGGGGGGCCCGATACGGCGGCATCTCGGGACGCGAGGTTGACCTAGCTGCCCTGGCCCCTTGGTCCTTCCAGGAGCTTGCGCTGGCCCTTAAGCAACCGGCCCTTTTCGCAATGCTAGACGCGGCGTCAGCCTTCTATAGGGCCATAAGGGATTTGGTCATGCAAACGGGCACTTCCGACTCCGACCTCCAACTCATCCTCGCCACCGTTGGGCCCCCTACCAGCGCCATTGAGGGCCTCGAGGCCCACGTAGCACAGCATCCCACTATCTTGGAGGCCGCAGGTGCGTCTCCGCATGCACGGGCCCTCACGGCCTCCAGTTACACCGGCAGCTGGTTTTGGTACCCAGGGGCCTCTGCCATTGCATACACATTGGAGGGTGCAGCGCCCCGTCAGCAGCTGGGCGATGCGATATTCAATTACGTCACGCCAGCATGCACACGCGAAGCACATCAAAGTTTAAGCGAGCTCGAGCTCGATCTCCGCATCCCCGTCGCCTTGCACGCCCGCATGTCGAACCTACTCGCCACAGCGCCAGATACGACCAGGGGGGATTGGACGCGTGCAGATTTGATGGCGGGGCCATCGCGGTCATCGGCCCAGCGCTCGCCTCAGTCACTGCCGCGCCGCGATTTGCCGAGGAGGTGGCCGCCAGCTTTGTCCAACGAGGTCTCCGCCTCAACTTGGCGGCTGGCAAAACTGAGGCACTATTTCAATTCCGAGGCAAGGGCGCGAAAACCGCCGATAGAGAGAACTCTGGCTGGAACGCCGGGGGCAGTTTCGAGTGCACTCGG